AAATAGTTGAGAGTATTGATTTCTCATATTCATTTTTAGAGTTTAATTGGATAAAATTGAAAATTCAACACTAAAATTAATTACGTTAGTATACAAGTTTACTTGTAGTTTTAGAAGTTTTAACTTAGTTCTTATGATTTTGTCAAATCTTACAAATCGTTTCTAAACTATGTTTTACCTACCAAAAAACTTACTCAGTTTGACCTAGCCCTAAACCCTCGCCAATACAATCAAACAATGAGAAAATATTAGCTCATTGTCACATAAATAAAAAAATGTGTCGCATATTTAATACAATAACAATATGAATGATTTGTTAAGGTATATATGAGAGTGGCTAATTAAACCAAGCATGTAGACGAGTTAAATGACCAAATTGAAACTAAGCCCAAATTATAAAGACCGAATTGAAATTTTTAAAATCATTGGGGACCAAATTTGAAACTAGTTTACTGCAGGAGTACTGCCTGATCATTTCTACAAACTTAAAGTCCCAATTCGTATTCTTTTTATATTATGCGTTTAGTAAAAATTTCCTCTAGTGGTGTTTATTGATTCACATGAGATTCCATGTGAGTTTTTAAATTCAAATCACATTTGAAATTCTTATTTTATTATTCTATATCCTAATGACATTACTTCCAAAACACTATGTTTGAAAACTTTGGTAAAAGAGAGAACTCAAAAACCAAATTTGATAAAATGTTCAAAGCATTTGGTGGTTAAGTAAACAACCTTCCTTTAGCTCCTTTTTGATATTTCCTTTTTAAAGTTTAGAAGAATACTTAGAAGGTCTACCCATCTAAAAAGTTTGACACCTTTGGAAAAAAAAACTTTTTTTTCTACATTTCTCCCTCCTATTTATCAAAAATTTAATGGTGGCCAGTAAAATATGAGTGTTGACCGTTATTCTTAAGTTTATTCTCTTATTATGTCAATCTTGCAAACTAGAAAACGTAACATTATGACGAAGGTAGAGATTGAAACCATTAAATGGTCTCTATTCTTTTTGTGTTCGAGTACAACATGTAAAGGTGTGGATTCGAACCCACGACTTTTTGGTCGGAGATAAATGTCTTAACCAGTTGAGCTATACTCAGATTGATGTTAAACATTATCTCTAAGAAGACGTTATAAGAGGTTTAGCATTCCCATTTGGTTAGTTGTTGAATTAAATGATTGTGTGTTTGTTAAAAGATTAATAATTAAAGAGAGGTTGATATATGGGGCAGGCCCTCCCAACAAGTGTTGATTTCTCTTGTTTTTGCTTAATTCCTACTCTAAACCAAAATCAAATCTTATGATCATTTTTTTTCCATTGATTTGGTGGGTTTTGATCATTATTATCTTTGGTGGTGTGTGCTTCTTTTCTTAATCCCAATTGGTTTTGGTTTGGAAACATTTCTAGTTTGTCCATCATCCTCACATTAGTTATATGTCATATAAGTGCTCTTAAATGATCAAAAGAATTAATAGAGGTCAAATTTTGATGTTAAAAGTGAGATTTATTTAGAGCAATATGATCTTTCCTACCGACACAAATTTTAGTTTTTGTTCGTGGGGTACGATTTAATTTAATGGGGCACATTCACACTTTATATTAAGAAGTATATCATACCCAACGATGATGAGAAATCTTAGGATCAACACTGCATTAATTTATTGTATTAGTGAGAGTTATCCAATCTAAGTTTTGAGATTATGTGTAGTTAATAAAGACCATTTTTCCCTTGTTTGTGGTAGAAAATTTTCTACTAAAAAATAATATTCAGCTAATGGATTAAGCTTGGTTTGTTCCTCTTCCAAAAAAACGGAAAGATTAGATGTTTTTATGATCTATAAATATTCAAAAGGACTAAAGATTAATATTTATAAACCCCAATCTATGATAGGAAATTCAAAACTTCATCAAAGTTTACGAGTCTACTAAATGGGAACATCATTTAGTGAATCAAACAAAGTCCCACCAAAATCATATAATTTCCCCCTTTCATGTGAGGCAGGGTATGCTACATGGACTTATGAGTTATGTGGGTCATATTTCGTGACGTTTTTTTAACCGTCACAAAATCTAAAACCGTTACAGTTTCTCTTTATTTGTGATGTTTATTAAACATCATAAATTTTTTTTTTCTTGATGTTTTTTAATTGTCACGAAATCTTTTTTGTGACACTTCATAACCGTCAAGAAAGTCTCATTTTTTCGTGACGTTTTTTAACCATCATGAAATGCATTTTTTGCAACGTTATTCTTTCGTGATGGGGAATAGGTGACGTCGTAAAAAACACCATAAAAGTTTTAACATCATGAGACGTCGAATTTATACTAGTATTTCTTTTATATATATATATATATTAGTTCTAGATGTTTCATTAATGATAGCCCACAAATCATTAATGTTCCAACTTGTGTCAATGAACCTAGTTTAGAAGATCAACACTCTTGGAGTTCCATTGATTGGAGTAGCACTCCATCTACAACTTTTGATGAGCTACCATATAGGTCATCACTATTGAGTCTGTGATATTAGTAGCGACCATGTAACCATAACGGTCTTTTGGTGTGGCCTTTTGGTCCTTTGCCAAAAACAAACCTTTGGTGATGGAGAAACCCCTTGACTAAGCCAATAAATTCCTCATGTTGGAAGAAGAGAAGCAAATGGAGATCTTAAAATTGATCATCATAAAACAATTAGAACCCAACAATGGAAAGAAGATGCAGCCTGACTACTAGGTGAAGGTTGTGAAGTAGGCTGCTCGGACATGATCTAACACGATCCCACATTCCAGAAAGAACCAGATAGTGGAAAACCTTTGTCGAGTAATGGGAAGCAAGCTAGTCCCTAAAAAATTCCCACCCTTTCTTACTAATCATAAGAAAGGGACTCGAAATCTCCTGGACGTATTTACATTGCACGGTGATAGAAATCCATACTTCGTAATTGAACATGGTTCCTCGACTTCTTCCTCACAACTCTTTGAGCATGAATAATATTTCAAAATGTCTTAAGTGCATGGATGACAAACATAATGTTGAAGGTTCAAGGACTTATGCTTACCTTGATCTAAGTGGCACAATTGCACTAAAAACCTAAGTGTCATTGGCTAAGTTCGAGGATGATTTTAGTTATGCTTATGAGTTTGACCCATATAAAAAGATCGCAGATCATATCTCATAAATTTCTAAAACATTTACAACATACTACAGAAAGTGGATAAACCAAAATACCCTTACATAAGAAATGGGAGGTTTTACAAGTGAAGGATTTCCAAAATAGTAATGGCAAATTAGATGTTGGATATGTAAGAGAGCTTACTTGGCCTCAACTAGTATATTTAGAGTTCAGATATCCATCTCATGCCTATAAAAAAAATTTAATAGGTGTTAAATAACTAATATTGATTTATTTTCATATTATGGCAAAATAGTTCATTGAAATAACATACCTTGTTACAGAGCTACTAAGTAATAGAAAAACAATAAGATTACCCTAAGGCTTTACTAAGAAATTGTGATATAGCAGCAACTGTAGTTAGTTACAACTTACAAGGTACCTCCACTTTATAGCCAGACCTCAAAAGAATGACATTTTCTTTTCGGATGTTCTGTCTTGAGATAGTATAGCCAGACTTCAAAAGAATGACATTTTCTTTTCGGATTTCTGTCTTGAGATAGTAACAGCAGACTGATTTATCTCATGTCTCTGGCTCCAAGCAGACCATTAGAACCACAGAAGGTTCTATAATGGTTGCGGGCGTGTCTGGACTATATAAATATCGTCACCAATGACACAGCCTTCGACATCCTGTGGGCAGCCAAACTTGCGTTCTAAGAAGAAGCCAACAGCACAAAGACGTTGACCAATCTGCTCACGAAATTTCGGGTCGGTAGACAATGATTTTTTGCTGTAATCTACAGTCAGACGTGCCACTTCGCCATCGGCAGGACCAGCAGCAAGAACTCTTAGTTCTTCACTGAAGTTTGCAAAGGCCAGTGTTTGAACTAGACCATCGAACTTCCCGGATGAAAGACGCCAGGGTGTGCCACGGGTGCCAGAAGCCAGAGTTTCACCTAGTCCGCAGGCAATCTCAGCCTCAACAGACTTGACATTTTGATCAGTCGGACTGTACGTGTGTAGGACAAATGATAAGTCGGGTGAAAGCATTTCTTGCACCAGGACTGCCATTAAAGCATCCTTCTGAGGTACCCCAGCTGCTCGTCGGCTGAGAACTGCTCTTCGAGTGTACAATGACGCCCATACTTTGCCAATGGCACCACCAAAAACAATTGGATTTTTTAAACTCACATTTGGAATTGACTCGTAAAGTCCTGCAGCTGACATGCCAGCCAAATCCTCGACGTTTGCACTTGAACGGACAATTAAACGTGAGTCTTCAGGAAATATTCTCCCAACATCATCAATTAAGTCTTGTGTCAATTGCAGAGAGGACACCAACTCCTGGAGTTGATTGCAGAGTTCATCCAGTTCCACTCCTACTTTTGCTGTTTCTATTTGTTCCAAAATAGATTTGAATGTTTCCATGGAATTACTTTGAGCTAAAGCCGACTCCATAGAACCAAACGGAATCACTGCACCTGCAGGTACCCGAAAAGCAGCAGGAATCTGTAGATTGCTAAAATCTGGCAACAAAATATATTCATCAATTTCAGGTAGCATGTATTACAACAATGTGCATTAATGGGAGCATACTGGTAATTGTAATATGTTCGAGCATAATTTGAGTATGAGCGTTCGTTAAATGCATCACATCAGAACAAAGCAGTTCCCAAGTCCCTAACCGAATGACAAAAATAACATTTAATACAAATATTTTGGAACCATTTTCCCATTCTCTCCATTCTATTCTTTTATATTTTAGTTCGAAATGAATTTTGGCCCTGCTCATCTAAAATCATAAATTTACATAGAATAGTTGCCTGTTCATTAAAATCATGATTATTTTCTTGCTAGACATTTGATGCAAAATGAGGAGCCTTCGCTAATAATAAAATCTTCAATCACGATTCGGAATCGACGATTCCTAAACAGAACAAGAAACCATAGATAATATAAATTGGAAAAAGGAAACAATAGAGGAATCAAGGGCATTGCAGTTTCATCGCGACATTAGTAACTGCTCGATTTATTAATATTTGTGTAAATATTAGGTGTCAATATTAGTTGTCAATATTTAGTCTTTATTGTTGATATTCAGTCTTTATGGTGTTTATTACTTTCCTTGTTTGTAGTAGGTCATTCTCCTATATAAGAAGACCTAAGTTACATGTTTGAATTAAGGAGTATATTTTTTACTCTCTCAAATTAACATGATATCAGAGCTCAGGAAGTAAACCCTAACTCTCAAAACCCTAGCCATCATCAAAAATACGAAACCCTAATTTCAAAACCCTAGCCGTCAATCAAAACCCTAGCTGTCAATCAAAACCCTAGCCGGCATCCATTCCTCCTTCCGATAAGTCTACCTCCGACGAACTGCCCACGAGAACGCAGCTGTTGCCGTCGATCCGTCGTCCTCACCGTCGATCTGCACCGGTGACATCCGCACAGATCCGCCGCTACTCCCATCCGCGACGCAACCTGTCGTTCGCCGGTCTCCGTCATCCGCACAGATCCACCGCGGCGTGACCCCTCATCAATCGACCTCCGCGTTCCTTCGTTTGGTATTCGTGATCGCCCATCTCTGCCTGTCGCACATCCTCGCCGTCTTCGATCCGCCAGCACTCTTGTCGGTCACCATCTTCTGCTCACAGTCGACCTCTTCTGCTCGCAGATCTCACCGCCGCCTCTGTAATGACCATCAATCCTGTCCGTCGGAGATTTTCTAAGTATTGTTCAGGGCTTTGGTTCAAATCGGTTTGGGTTGGTTCATCTGCCGTAACTTATTCTGACTTGGTTCAACTCTCCTGGTTATGGTTATCTCATTTCTAATATCAATTTGTGGCCTGATTTGATTTGGTTAATTACTATCTGGTGGTGTGATTCTGTTGTCAGTTTTTGTTCAGGCAAAGTTGTTCAGGACAAGTTGTTTATTTAAAATGGTCCAAATCTCAACTGATAATGGTAGAGAAATGTTTGGTGATAATCGTGGTGACTCAAGTATAGAGCAAATTCATCAAATCCTGAAATTGCTATCCTCCAATTTACCGTCTAATAACTCATGTGTATCCTTGACACAAACAGGTATTTATTCTAAGGTTTTCTCGTGTAATAACTCATCTCCATGGATTATAGATTCTGGAGCTTCTGATCATATGACAAGTTCTTCTAATCTCTTTGAATCATACCTTCCTTCATATTCCAATGAAAAAGTTAGAATTGCAAATGGTAGTTTTTCTTCTGTTGCAGGCAAAGGAACCATTAAATTGACTGAGCCCATTTCGTTACAGTCTGTCCTTCATGTTCCACAATTAGCATGTAATCTTATATCTGTCAACCACCTTTCTAAAGATTCTAACTGTCGTGTTATTTTCTTTGAATCCCATTGTATTTTTCAGGATCAGAACTCGGAGAGGATAATTGGCCGCGGTAGGATGATTGATGGTCTCTACTACTTTGATGAAACAGGGTCTTAGTAGTATTAGTTCTCTTCCTGTTAGGGAACAAATTATGCTTTGGCATCGTAGACTAGGACATCCCAGTTTTTTCTATTTAAAATATCTGTTTCCAAAGTTATTTAAGGGAATTGATTGTTCATCTTTTAATTGTGAAAGTTGTTTTTTAGCAAAAAATCATCGCTCCACATATTTTCCAAAACCTTATAAAGCTTCCAAACCATTTTACTTAATTAACAGTGATGTTTGGGGTCCTTCTAAAATCAGTACTCATAGTGGAAGAAGATGGTTTATTACTTTCATTGACGATCATACTCGCCTGTCTTGGGTTTATTTAATGTCAAAAAAATCTGAGGTGAAAGACATTTTCAAAAACTTTTATGAGATGATTGAAACTCAATTTCAAACAAAAATTTGTATTTTACATTCTAATAATGGAACTGAGTATTTTAATAAGTTTTTGGGAAATTTTTTAAAAGAAAAAGGTATGGTTCATCAGTCTACTTGTCGGGATACTCCTCAACAAAATGGGATTGCTGAAAGAAAAAATAGGCATTTACTTGAAGTAGCACGTGCTATAATGTTTTCTATGCATGTTCCAAAATATTTATGGGGGGAAGCGATTCTCACAGCGACCTACCTAATAAATAGGATGCCTACTAAAGTTTTAAATTTCAAAACTCCCATTGAGTCATTTAAAAATATTTTTTCAACATCCCGCATATATTATGATCTACCTCTCAAAGTTTTTTGCTGTACTACTTACGTTCACACACCTAGTCATTTCAGGTCGAAACTTGACCCTTGCGCTATTAAATGTGTTTTCTTAGGTTATGCTTCAGGTCAAAAAGGTTACAAATGTTTTGATCCTCAGACAAAAAAAATTTTTGTGAGTATAGATTTGTCTTTCTTAGAAAATCAACCATATTTTACCCAAAATTCTCTTTAGGGGGAGAAAATGAATTTGGAAGATAATTTTTGGGATATTTCTGTTCCTCTTCCTAGTCCTACCTATTTGGATTTTACTAGTCCTTCAATGCCAAGCATAGAAACTGTCCAATCAGGGGGAGAAATACTACAGAACGATTTTACAAATCCTAGTTCTGAGTTAAAGTTTTATACTAGAAGCAAATTCAATCCGAGGAACCAAGATCAAATAGTTACTCCTTCACAAAGCCAATCTGAGACTCCGAGAAATGAAACTGAACTGTCTGATAATCCTCTCTCTTCAACATTGTCTGGTAATCCCTCTTCTTCAAATTTTCAAAATAATTCACCTGTTGTCTCTGACCTTGATGTTCCCATAGCYATTAGAAAAGGCRTTMRAAGTTGTACCAAATATCCTATTTCGAACTACATTTCATATGAAAAACTATSAAATAGTCATAAGGCCTTCACATCTAGGATAACTAATTTGTTTGTTCCAAGGAATATACATGAAGCTTTAGAAGATCCAAATTGGAAACTAGCTGTCATGGACGAGATGAATGCTCTAAAGCAAAACAATACTTGGGAGATAGTAGAATTGCCAAAGGATAAGAAACCAGTGGGATGTAAATGGGTGTTTACCGTAAAATGTAATGCAGATGGTAGCATCGAGAGATACAAGGCTAGACTGGTAGCTAAAGGCTTCACACAAACCTACGGGATAGACTATCAGGAAACATTTGCTCCTGTTGCAAAAATTAACTCTATTAGAGTTCTTTTGTCTCTTGCAGTTAATTCAAATTGGCCTCTCCACCAGCTTGATGTGAAAAATGTTTTTCTCAATGGCAACCTTGAGGAAGAAGTTTTTATGGATTTGCCACCAGGTTTTGAAAAAGAACTCGGTTGGAATAAAATCTGCAGATTAAAGAAATCTCTCTATGGCCTCAAACAGTCTCCTAGAGCTTGGTTCGAACGATTTGGAAAAGTCATATCGAGTTATGGATTTCTCCAGAGTCAAGCTGACCATACTATATTTTATAAACACTCTAAGAATAATAAAATCTCAATTCTGATTGTCTATGTAGATGACATTATTCTCACTGGTGATGATGAAGCAGGACTAACTGGTCTCAAGAAAAATCTGACAAGTGAGTTTCAAATCAAGGACTTGGGAACATTAAAATATTTTCTAGGAATGGAATTCGCAAGATCGAAGAAAGATATATTCGTTAATCAAAGAAAATATGTTCTTGACTTACTTGGAGAAACAGGATTGCTTGGTTGCAGGATCGCAGAAACTCCTATTGAACCTAACTTGAAATTACAAGCAGCAAACACAGAAGAAATAAAGGATAGAGAGCAATACCAGAGACTCGTGGGAAGATTAATTTATCTGTCACATACACGACCAGATATTGCACTTGCTGTAAGTATGGTAAGTCAATTCATGCATGCACCTGGACCAACTCATTTTGAAGCTGTCTACAGAATCTTGAGATATTTGAAGGGAACTCCTGGAAAAGGTATTTTATTCGAAAAGAATAACCACTTCCAAGTAGAAGTTTATACTGATGCAGATTGGGCTGGAAGTACTACCGACAGAAGGTCTACTTCTGGTTACTGTTCCTTTGTTGGAGGAAACCTAGTTACATGGAGGAGCAAAAAACAAAATGTAGTGGCCAAGAGTAGTGCTGAAGCAGAGTTTAGAGCATTGGCTCATGGAATTTGTGAAGGTATATGGATCAAAAGGATACTTGAAGAATTGAAGATTCCTCAGCCGACACCTATACGAATTTATTGTGACAATAAGTCTGGCATATCTATAGCTCATAACCCAGTGCTACATGACCGAACCAAACATATCGAGGTTGACAAACATTTTATTAAAGAGAAGATTGATGCAGGTACAATATGTATCCCTTATCTTCCGACAACAGAGCAAATTGCCGATGTTTTAACCAAGGGACTTCCAAAGAAACAATTCGACAATTTAATCAGCAAGCTGGCTATGGACGACATCTTCAAACCAGCTTGAGGGGGAGTGTTGGATTTATTAATATTTGTGTAAATATTAGGTGTCAATATTAGTTGTCAATATTTAGTCTTTATTGTTGATATTCAGTCTTTATGGTGTTTATTACTTTCCTTGTTTGTAGTAGGTCATTCTCCTATATAAAAAGACCTAAGTTACATGTTTGAATTAAGGAGTATATTTTTTACTCTCTCAAATTAACAGTAACTAAAGAGTTCACTTGAAACCTCTAGGACCAATTATTTGAAAACATATGAAACAGTGACAATATTAATATCTTTAGCTGCCAATCTTGAGTAGCCTCTCCATTCAATAAATATAAATAATGTTTTTTTCTCAGTACCTGGAAGAAGAGGTATGTATGAACTTCCTACTTGACCTTGGAATGGATATGGATAAAACAAAAAAAATCACTTCTAACAGTTTAAACAATCACCTAAAGTGTCATAGAAAGTTTCACAAACTTATACCCCTTGATTACTAACAAAGTCTAGGAGTTCATACAAGGGGCACACCGCACACCCAAACCTCAGATTTAGCCAATCAGAAACAAGTTTGGAAGGATTAATATATTCAAATAAGCTTCAGAGGGTAATTCTCTATCACTCTAATTGGGGAAATTTTGGTACTCCATCTAGTTTATGCCACTTGGAATTAAATTTTTGTTTCATTATTGATCTAAGGGAAAATTACAAACACTTCCCCTAAACTATAAATTTGCTACAATGACACTTTACCAAAGTTAACATCTTAAAGTTATGAAATCATTGCAATTAAATCCCACGTTAGTGGTTGGGTAAGTTGAGTAACGGTGCTAAGACAACTTCATAAGATTTAGGGTATGATTAAAATAACTCTCATAGTTCAAAGTGGTTTAGAGCTTAAAGTCCGATTCTAAGAATTCGTTCAATGGTGGTTTCCTTTTTCAAGCTACAAGTAATGAAATTATAACAATAGGGTTTAATTGAAACGATCTTATAAGTTTGAGGGTAATTACTTAAATTAAAACTTTTGAGGATACGATTGTAACCCCTTTTAATTTACAGGTGATCTTTGTAATTTCCCTTCATTTTATATAAGTTCTGTGGCTGAAAGTAACTGTGAGTACTTGAAATGTTTCATATAACAGTAATACAGGAAATGTGCTTAGCTCGAGAGGAAGAAATAACCTCTTTCCTTAGTAGTTCCTTAAATTACTCTTAGGATATAATTAGCTGAAATTTTCCTTATGCATCATGTGAGAAATTTAAACTGGTTCAGTTGGGGTTAGAAACATTACAGCTCAAACATAGTTTTCTTCAAAGGAATTTATGATGCATGAAATATCGCTTATAGATTTTCATTGAGAGAAAAGTGTAGATCCAGAATGTACCTTTATCAGATATCGCAGCCAAAGAAGCCAAACGACCACAAGCTGCAGCTTTCGCACCTGCAATTTGAGCATCTGCATCAGCGAGCGGTACCACTCCAGAAGAAATTCCCTAGACAAAAAGTTCAGCCATCACTAATTTTGGGAAAAACCAACAAACGAGAGAGGAAAGAAAATGTCTAGTGAAAGGAAGTTTGCAGATCTTTTAACGAAAGAACAAAGGCCGATATGGCAATGTAATTGAGGAATGGTTTAACTACAATATATGAAACCTGTTTTGAGAAGGGAGCTCTAGAGGCAGGCAATAGGGGATCTTGAATACTATACTTTTCAAAAGTAAACACATATTCGTCTGCATCAGTTCTGACAGGAAAATTATCAGTGCTAATATCAGATGGAGGACATATCTGAACGGCAGTTGCAGACGCTTCCATCCTACACATCCAATCAAAAAAACAGTTGGTAAAGCATCACCCTATAATCACCAAGAATAAGAACCTGAACCAAAAACCATATGTAGGGGAGGAAAAGTAAACAATATAGACATATGGACAACCTCACATGTTTCCCGAGAAGTTTCTGCAGAGAATAAATTCTCTCATCATCTTCACATGTCACAAATACAACTTTTTCCTACAAAGCCCATATGCAATTTCATTAATATTGTTCAAAAGCATTTTAAAAATACATCATTTTTGAGAGACTGCACTTACTTGTCGAGCCCTTACACCAAGATGAGATAAATGAGGTAATTCCTGCAGCAGCACAACTCCCGCTATGTTACTCCCAGCAGCTGTTATCTGCAAATCATCACTTTAACAATATTTTATTTTTATTTTATTTCATGGACGCTCGTTATAATACTACCATCATAAGAGAGAGATGAAAAACAATAAGGCATCATAGATAGAGAGAGTGATAAGGGGGATTTTAGCTTCGAACCTCTTCATCGCCATCAGCTTTGTTAACCATAAGAACAACAGGTCCTTCTACGGATGTGGGAAGAGACCCTGGGACAATCCTCTCAACCTGAAGGCATACTCACAATTACAGATGCACAATGATAAATTTCTAACAAGTAGCTATGTGGATTAGTGTACATGATATTTGAATTGTTTTTCTCTATTTATATCTCTGTTTCCTATTAAAAATATATTTGAGTTGCAGGCTAGCTTATGCAGGATCAACACATTTCGTATTCATGTCTTCAAGAATGTTCTAGTCATAATATACTCAGGTACTTTACCATATGGAGATGAAGTTCCTTTCCCATTGCTAAAAGGATAAATCAGTGAAATTTGTTATATTTTTCTATAACGAAATTCTATATTTTCTCAAAGAAAAAAAACCCTAGAACACAGATTTATCAAAAATTGTCATGAGTCAATATTCATATTAGAACATTATCAATTTCAAATGTTTTCTTTATAAGATTATTTTGAGTTTCCTTGCTTAAGCCCCTATGATAGGACTTTAACGTTTGGACTAAATAGTAATGCAACATTATTTATTTAATATAGATCGGAAAGTGTTAGAGTATTTTAATTAGTGTATTTTATAATATTGTAATAATCTGTATTAGTTTATCCTTTACCGTCTTTTTACATTATTAGGTCAACCTTATATCTTTGTTTATATATAGGGCTGTCCAAAAAACCCGACGAACCCAACCCAAACCGTAGATGAAGTAGGTTGGGTTGGGTTGTGATTTTCTCAACCCGATCGGGTTGGGTTGGGTCTTGGGTTCAACCTTTAAAAAATCAGGTCAACCCAACCCAAGCTGAATTTATACATATATATGTATTTTTTTTAATTTTATATATATACCCTAACCCTTTATTTAAGGTTTTCATAATTCATATTATCTTCTTTCATTTGGTATCTTAATCTCATCCGTCCATTTAGTT